GCATAAGGGAGACCCCATCTCTGGTTGCCTGATGCCCACTATGCGGGGACCGAGTCCTGCCTCTGGGATACTGTTGCCCCTGCCTCAAGTAAACCTTTCATTCATGCTGTGGCCAGAGGATCCAAAAGGACAGAGACCTCAAAGAACTTACATAGGTCATAGGAGCTGTTTTGTGCCCGCCTGCTAACAAATGTTTAACAAATGTGTGTGTGTGGCAGATTTTAGTCTGAAACTTATTTTCTTTATATCTCAGGAGTGAGGATGTGGAGCAGGCAAATCCTCACCACTTCAACTTCTCTGGCAGGTATCGTTACCAACGAAAAAGAACTAAGAGTTGGACAAGGTCAGCTTAGGTCAGTTTGTAACACCTTCCCGCGTCCCCAGAGCACTTCTAGGGAGCAAAGCAAGGGCTCTACCTGCCTCCAGAACCAGCAATCTCTGTAACCTCCTCATTGCTAGAGAATCTCTTCCTTCTTCTAACCTTCAAGCTGTGGCCACACCCAAAGGGAAAGAGAGTTGAGACCTCAAGGTACTTACATAGTTTCCCACCCCACCAACCCAAGGCTTTTATTCATCTCCTCCACCTGCTCCCCCCAACCCTTCACTCCAGCACAATTTCCTCGTGAAGCTTAAGCTTTTAGAGAACAAAGCCAGAAAGGGGGTTATCTTCAAGCAGCTTCTGTTCTCAAGCCTCTTCAGGAATCAGGGAGCCCAAGAGGCTAACTTACTTGCTTGGGAAGTGCTAGCTGCTTTGAGTGTATCCTATAGACTGCCCAGACAGGCTGTGCTGGATATTCTCTGGTTGCCTCTCCAGATTCACCCTCCACCCTTCTCCACCCTGCTCTGTGCCCTGGGAGGCTGGCTTGCATGGACTGTATCACCCAGGCCTTCCAGCTTCCATTTGTGTTCTGTCAGTGAGAGGCATTAGCCCGAGAGGATGAAAAGAGAAGGAAGTTGAGTATTTCCTTGCTCGGCCATAGTTATGTCTCTTTATCAAAGGGCACAGCTGCTATCAGACAGCCCTTTCTGACTGCTACAGCTCTGATACAAGGTAAATTGTGTCCCCCCAAAAAAGATATATTGGACCCCCAGTACCTCAGAAGGTGACCTTATTTTGAGATGGGGTCTTTACAGAGGTAATCAAGTTAAAATGAGGTCATTAGGATGAGCCCTATTCCAATATGACTGATGTCCTTATGAAAAGGGGAAATTTGGGCACAGATTGAGATTACATGAAGAGACGTGGAGAAGACCGTCATCGACAAGCCAAGGAAAGAGGACAGATCCTTCCCTCACAGTCCTTAGAGGGAACCAACCCTGCTGACACCTTTATTTCACACTTCTGGCCTCCAGAACTGCGAGACAAAAAATTTCTGTTGTTTAAGCCACCCAGTTTGTGGTACTCGGTTATGGTAACCCTTGCAGACTAACACAAGCTCTCACTGGGTTCTGGTAACACCTCTACCCTTGTCCCTTCAGGCCTAGGGGTGATAAAGACACCTGCTGTTGCTAGTCCCTGGATGCCTTACCATCCTTTGTTGGTTTCCCTTAATCCTCTCCACACCTCAAACCCTTCATTCAATTCTTTTCAATTATTCTGTTGAATGTGCCATATGTTTCCTGATACTCAAGCCTAAAATATAATTATATTTTCCCAATATACTTCATAAAACTATCACAAAGGCAAGATAAAGTTCTACTGGGGTTCTCCAATTATGCAGACATCTACTGGGAATCTTATATCATTCAAAATACAGCATCTGACATATTTGCACTTTCTTCTGTTGTCCATTTCACCTCACAGGACACAGGGGAAGCCATAAGGGGAAGTGACACTTTGGATTTAATTCAGATCAAAACTTTGGACCAAGTGTAAGAGTTTGTGGTAATCATGCATGGCAGGCAATGTTGGGTGTGATGAAACATGCGTCCTACACTTTAGGTGCTCAGATTTCAAAAATTTCTAAGAAGCATTAGGGAAGATCCTAGAACAGCCTTAAAAAGTAAGTTAGTTCAAGAGGAATGGGATCTTTTCAGAAGTTAAATTCTGACACTGCCCATGAGTAGTGAAACATACGATGGCTCATGTTCTCTGAATAATTTTACTTTTAAAAGGACTTACAAAAAAACAGTTGTGGGAGAGGGGTATGCATGTAACTGAGAATGAATACCAAAGAATGGCCACCATAACTTCTGGAAGGGTCAAGTCCAGAATAGGACAAGCCCTGTGAAATTGGGGGGGCGGGGGGAAGTGATTTTAAAAGTTAATTTAAAGCAAGAAGCACAAAAAAAAGATATAGGCTTTAGAACAGGGGAAAAAACAAACTAGCTTATCTGAAGAATTACACATACTTTACAAAAAATGTGGAGAAGGGGCCGGCACCGTGGCTTAGCGGTTAAGAGCACGTGCTCCGCTGCTGGCGGCCCGGGTTTGGATCCTGGGCGCGCACCGACGCACTGCTTCTCCGGCCATGCTGAGGCCGCGTCCCACATACAGCAACTAGAAGGATGTGCAGCCATGACATACAACTATCTACTGGGGCTTTGGGGATAAAAATATAAATAAATAAAATTATTTTAAAAAAATGTGGAGAAGTGAAGCATGCTGAGAGAATGGGGAAAAACATTAAAAAAAGGAGAAATGGTGAATTCTGGGAACTCAGTCCAGTGAACTTGACATTGACTCTGGAATAACTCTCAAATAAGTTACTAAACAGATGGTTAGTGAGCTCTTAGAGAGGGAAGCAATAGCCACTCAGAGTCAGAATAGGTATGACCGATTCCATGCCAACCTAAACTTAGTTCTTTTTTGATGGATCTGCAGTAACCCATTTGGGTTTTAGCACAGCTCTCATATCGTCCCTCTCCATGTTTTCTCTCTTGTCCAGTCCTTTCTCATCAACTGCACATCATTTATCCTTTGATTAGATAAATATTTGAGCACCTACCAAGTGCCAGACACTGCTAAGCACTGAGGATACATCAAGAATAACCCAAACAGGGTTCCTACCCTCATAGAATTTACTTTCTGGTGGGGAGTAACCTCCCGAGTCTGGGACTTTTCCTCAGCCACCAGCTCGCTCCGGTCTTTTCTAAACCACATATGGTTTTCCTGAGCTAGCAGAATCCTCACACTCCAGGGCGTCACTGTCTGCCCCAGCGCTCCTCTTGTCCTCAATACAGAATGGGGAGGACACTGGATTGCTGCTTTCCTTGGCCAACAGGTGCTGCCCTCTTTTGCAATATGCCCAGAAATGCTATCATTCAGGTTCCATGCAACAAATATTAATTATCTAAATTTCAAATTCAGCAAACCCACATTTCCAGCCTCACGTTCCACTTCAACCCTTCAGTCATTAATAGCCCTAGTCCCCACCCATAAGTTTCCAAGTCTGTGCCTTTTTGCTCAATTGATTTTCTCATTCAGTAATGCCTGGCACCTCCTTCTCCACCTATGGAAATCCTACACATTTCCCAAGACCCAGCTCAAAAGCCGCCTCCTCCCTGGCTGGGCTTAATTACTTACTTTGCTCAATAAAATCCTGCCCAAGACCCCACACAACCTGTGCACTATTATTGTATTTTCATCTTCCTTTCTCAGTCAATTAATTACTTGTCTGTCTTCCCCACTAGAGTCTAACTCCTTTAGGGCAAGGGTCTTCAGAGCTTCCACCCTGTCTAGCTGAAGTACCTTACAACTAGGGTTGGCAAACTAAGGACTGAGCCAAGAATGGTTGAAATAGTTGGGAAAAGATCAACGAAGAATAATATTTTGTGACATCTGAAAATTACATGAAATTCAAATTTCAGGGACCATAAATAAAGCTTTCTTGGAACCTAGACAGCCCCTATTTTCTATGACTGCTTTTGAGCTCCAGTGGCAGAGGTGAATAGCTGAGAGAAAGAGATCTTATGGCCCACAAGCCTTAATGTTTACTATAAGGCCCTTTACAGAAAAATTTCGCTAATCCTGTTTTACAACATGGGTTTGATGACTGAATCATTGGGTCAGGACAGCAAGATTCTGCGTACATATCCCCTCCAAGTTTTAGTTTCTTTGTATAGTGGAGGTAATAACTATCTTGCCTTTAAGTTGTCATGAACATCAAATGAGATAATGCACTTACATACGGATAAAAACATCCTATAAAGGGGCCAGCCTGGTGGCATAGTGGCATCACACGCTCTGCATTGGCAGCCCGAGATTTGCTGGTTCAGATCCCAGGCATGGTCCTACACACTGCTCATCAAGCCATGCTGTGGCGGTGACCCATAAACAAAACTGAGAAAGACTGGCACGGATGTTAGCCCAGGGCCAGTCTTCCTCAAGCAAAAAGGGGAGGATTGGCAGCAGATGTTAGCTCAGGGCCGATCTTCCTCACACACACACACACACACACAAAATCCTATAAATAAAGACAACTGTGTTTATCATGTACTGAAAAGATAGAGTGGTAAAATGAGAAAACATTATAAGTCTTTATTCTCCTTCTTCCTTTAAACTTGAAATCTTAATAAAAAATTCATTTTCAAAGTTTTCACTTTTTAAGTCATGATAGGATCACAAGTTCCTTCCAGTCTTTCTTCTGTGTTGCTCCCACTTCCTTTTCTTTCTCACTTCTAATTTTTCCCCCATTTTCTTTATATAGTATCTCAATTGGCCCTCACAATAAGTCAGCGAAGGAACTGTGGCACACGTGATTTAGTCCATTTTACAGGCCAGGAAACCGAGGCAGATTCCAGTTGGCTGCGGAGCTCTGACTCAGCACGCAGGGAACTCCACCCCCCTCTCTTCGCTTTCCCAAGGGGCAACCGCCCGGCAAACAGAACAAACCTGACCCTGCCAGGCTTCCAAGCTTGGTTCTCAAACACCCTTTAGCATTCACGCTCGGCGTTCTTTCCTCCCCCTCCCATTCTTTACCGCCCCCCTTCTCGGGAGCAGGTGGTAGGCTCCGCGCTTAACGCGCAGGCGCGCGCCGTCGTGGGGGCGGGAACGGGGGGGCGGGGGTGTGCGCGGGCTGGGTTTTGGGCCGCGGCGGGAGCGGGAGTCTCCGCCACTCGAGTGCGCAGGCGCCTGGCGGTTACCGGTCTCGCAATGGAGCGGAAAGGTGAGCGGTGGAGCGGGCTCGGCCACGAGGGGCAACGGCCCCCGGGGCGAGGCCGGGGTCAGCGCCAGGAGCTTCCCTAACTGCCGCAGTCCGGTCCCCGGGCGTGCGGCGCCCCTCCACTGAGGTGGCGCCGCCCCTCACCCCCCGCCTCTGGGCTGCCGGTCCGCGCCCCTCAGCCCGGGCGTCCTTCCGCGCCGGCAGTCATCGCCCCTTGTTCCCCGCCGGGCCGGCCCGCGCCTTGGGGCCACTCCAGGGCGGGGCCCTCGGCGGGCGAGGCAGACCCCCGC